CCCCAAAACCCCAAAACCCCATGTAACTTTGAGAGTAGAATTTATGAAATTAAAATTATTTATGATTTAATGATCAAGTCATTTTGGAGACCAGTATTGCAATTTAGATGCCAACTCGTCTATTAATCTCCTGTTAATCTTCTATTCTTAAAGCTTTAAGAGATCATTCTTTACTAATGCTTACTAAGAAAAAAGACCTTCTCTTGATTAAGTCATTTTGATTCTCTTTCTCCGCTTCTTTTTAAGTTCTTACACATGATTCAGAAGACTGCCATTTAGATATTTCTAAGAGTTATTTTACTAAGTGTAAGGAGTATTAATTTAGGTTGAATCTGCATCTAGATAGCTTTGATTGGGATTTACGTTAATGAATAGTTGGTTTCTCTAAACGTTCATTGGCCTTATCTTGCCAGTCCATGGTCTTCTCTTGTTTACCTTGCTTTATAAATTCTTCTAAGATACTATATCCTTGCTACTTGGAAGACTTTTGAGAACTTGATGTCTTGTGCTTTCGACCGAATGTAAAAATTGAAAAGTCTTTCTTGATATTTCATTTTGTACCTCCTTTTAAGTTAGATCTAGCTATTCTCTACTCCTGTACTAAGAATTTGGTCTTTGTTGATTCTGCATGAGATTGCCCAAGGAATTCCTGGTGCCAGTTACCTCAACCACTGAATTCCTCTTGATATTATTCAATAATAACCCTCCAGGAGACAAATTGTTATTCAGCATATCATACTTAAACATTTTGTGCGATTTCAATCTATTTTAAGGCTCAATAACTGTGATTTCCTCATTGAATTTTTCATTGTCAATTTTCTTTTAAATGCTACTCTGAAGTTTTTACTACAGTAATATCGTATTTTTAGAGATAAGAGTACTACCTAGCAGAGTTTCTTTTCTATTACTACTACTCACATTCAAGTCTAAGTTCATTGACTGCATTCCAAGAGCAGAAAAAAACTTCTTCTTTGCGGTAGATCCAACGAGAACTGAGGCTCTTCGGTTAGGACTATGATACAAAATACTTTTCATTCTTTTTTTATCCTCGTCTTCAGCTATATCAATGTCAGTTTTAAGACTGTCTTATTCTCTTATTTCATTCTAGTTAGCACTACTATTTTCTTTTTGGGTTTTTAACTTTTTATTCTTACTGATGAAGCTCGTATTTTTTGTATAATAACTTTACCGCTTTTTTGAAGCTTGCTTCAGAAAATTAAGACTTTCAATTAAACTAAAACTCTACTTCTTAGAGCCATCTTCATTATTTTAGTCGCTAAACCCCTCTTTGCTTTCTCCCTCGATAGAAGACTCTGAAGTAAGGGAGGAATCAGATGATGCTTTATATTCTGATTCCTTAACAGAATCTTCTAGCTAAGCTACTTGAATGTTATTATTGGCCTGATTCTACATAACTTCAATTGAAAAGCCCTCAAGAGGATCTATTTTAATGTTTAGCTGTCTAGTATTTCTTTTCTCAAATGAGGCATTAATCGATATCTTTTCCTCTTCCTTCCCATTCTTAATAGACATTATAGGTGATTTCAATGTCATTGATTTAATAAGAGTAACTTAATTTTTTACTTTGTTTGGACTTATGCTCTTGTTTTACGATTGAGGAGTGAGTTTATTGGAACCTGAATTGAATCTTTACTATGAAAGTCTGGACAATACTTTTTGATGATGCTTTTACGTTTAAGCCATTCGCCTCTGGAAAGATTTTTACGGATTAAGCTGCTTTCTCTTGAATTTTTTAACGGTTTTCAGTAAGTTTCTAAAATGAGCACTATCTTATGAATCAGTGATGATGTTGGCTATAAAAGGCCAGCACTTTGATTTGTTCTTCTCCTACTTTGGAGAGTCCTCTTGCGACTCAATTATTTACTGTATCATTTCTCTATGCAAGCTACTTAGCGGGATTGGTTGATCTTCCTTTGGTGTAAGTGGGTCAACTAGCATCTTAAGTTCCTTTTTAGAGACATAAGGTTCATAAAAGTAGATCATTTTCTTTCAATGAACCTCATCCTTTGATATCTAATCATTCCTTGTGTGTTTATTACTATTGCCTCTGTGAATTGAATTTGTCTAAATGTTCAATTGAACTTTTTATTTAGGTCGCTTTAGAAAATTTGATTTATTTTGCAGAGGGGAATTTTGTAATCGAATTGACCCTCTAATTGTAGTCTTTTTCTTTACTAAAATCATGTTCAATGATTCAACTCTGCGAGATGGAGTAAGCTAATCTTGAAATTTAGGAGATGCTATATTTGATTTTGGTGTTAAGCCTAAATTTTGAAATTAAAACATAGTCTCTTTTTTCATGACAGGTGATAATAAATTCAACATTTTAATTATTATTATTCCATCTATTAACATGATGATTTCATAAGGGGTTTTGGGGTTTTGGGGTTTTGGGG